TTTAAGCACCAATAATCACTCCCTCTCTTCCTTTCTCTCTTCTCACTGTTGTTCTGCCTTACAAGGAACAGAGGGAGAGCAGGGAAGTTGTTGCCCACAGATAAATTTGTCAAAAGACTGCACTACCATTTTTAATTCTCCTCTACCTGTTTGTCAATGGCCAGAGGAAAGAAAAAGGGCAAGAGAGAAAATAAGGCAAAGGAGAGAAATGGGGTGGGGGAGTAGGGTTGGGTAAAGAAAAACCAGAGTGCAAATCAAACAAAAATGAAACACACCCACTCAGCCAACCCAAGGGGACGGGATGCTCCCCCCATCCCAGGTCCTAACAACATACTTCTTTATCAGTGGTTCGTTGTCAATCAATTAGTCCAGACAGCAGGGGCCTGTGAGGTGGGGGCACCCAAGGAAACAATGGGCCGCCCTGTTGTATTACTATTTAATCACTTTTGCTAAATAAATAAAGCAGCCCTGAGGTGCTGTCATGTCAAGGGAATTTATAACAAAAAAAAAAAAACTTCATTTTTCCATTGGTCATTACTTTTTTCCCTTCAGGACAAGAGAGGGTTATTACTGTAGCCTTAAGTTCCATCTTTGCATTTCTTGCCTTTGATTCCCCCTCGGACCCTGCCACTTTCTGGCACTAATTTGTCAGGCTGAACAAAGAGGGGATTTGTACCTCCTGTAAGGTCTCAATTAGGAATGGCTTCTGCTGTATTATGTGCCATTCAGAGAAGACACAATGCCGGTAATTACAGGAATTTGCACTAAATGGCTGAAGAATTCACAGCAAAACTTTTCCCCTCTTTTGGGCTTACCCCTCCCCAGGGCTGGAGGGGAAGAAAAAGGAAAGCAAAAAGCTCTTAATGCCAGAGAGATGTAATTACCAACAGTAGTCCCAAGAGGTTAAACAGCAGCCAAAGGAGTAAAACCATAAAAACTGACAGTGTGAAAATGGTGGAGGGATCCCCTCTGGCTCCCTGTTTTCTCCCTTAACATGTTCAACTTCAGTTCAAAATCAGGAACACTGCCCCGCAGTGGGCCATCCAATTTTACCTCCAGATTACAAAACAGTCATACAAGGAACACTTTCAAAGGTGAGCTCAGCATCTTGTCACGCCTATAAACAAGTCCTGAGGCCCTGTGATTACAGCACTCAATTGCTAGGTTTCTTGATGGCTGGGAAATTACAGTAAAAACATCTGTGTGTGCTAGTGCCAAGAAAACCATGCATCTATTGAGTATGAGTAGGTAGGCACTAACTTTGAACATGTCACTATCTTTTAACCTAATTTACAGAGCATTTATTAAGAACCCAGTTTAGAGACTTACAAGGCACATATTTCAAAATACTTTAATCAGCTGATAATAATTTGTTTTAACATTGATATTTTAACATCAATCCCCTCTGCCAAACATATATATATATTTTTTGAGACAGGATCTTGCTATGTAATCTGTGCTGCCCTTGAACTCATTATGTAGGCCAGGTTGGCCTGGAACTCACAGCTTCCCCTGCCTCAAGCTGCCAAGGGCTAGAATTTTAGGCATGTGCACCTTGCCTGGCTTTGCCAAACATAATTTTTATTTTCAACCAATAATTTTGCTAAAGAAGCACACTTCACTTTCTGCTCCTTAAAAGCTCTAGCACCCTCAGAGTTCCAGTTCTTCAATACCATCCCCAGCATGAGCTCCTCCACTCAAGAACCTTCTGTAACTTAGGGGTCAAACAGTAAGTTCAACCTTATCAACTGCCTTTTTGTCAATCAAAAATGACTGAAGATTTGCAATTTCATATAACTCTACCTGAAACAACCTCTGACACTTCCCCAGTGTGATTTGTTGATCTCACTTCTGTTTCAGTTACCATCTGACAGTCATTAATGGGATTATTTCATTAAGCAACTTGTCTTCCCTAGCTGACTGCAAGTTTTGTGAGGGCAGCAACCACATCTGCTTTCCTGCAGCACGGACTTATGTGTCCTAGTGTAAACAAGTTTCAGGGCAAACAACAAATGACAAAAACCAGAAAAGGTTAAGTTTCATATTTTAGGAAATAGGGCTAGCAAGCGTAAAACCCTTGGAGGCAGGCACAACCACAGTTAAATTTTCAGAACAACAAGACAATGGTTAGGACTTCCTAAGGATGAGCAACTATGAAACTGGCGAGGAAGTGATGGAGCAACCACACATAATCAAATATAACTATCAAAAGTCCAAGCACATGTTAAGAAATATGCAGTTAAGAAGTATCAGCATGTATTTTCAAAACCATACCTCAGGAATTTTTGGATGATCATGTTCTATTTTCTCTGCAAGGACGCTAAATTTTAAACAAGGATGTAGAAAATACTTCACTTACAGAAAGAATTTGGTGAATTAAAGCCAATTGTAGTTTTTTATAGATTTAAAAGTCAGTATTTGTGGTTCCTCTGAATAGCAACTAAATGATATCATAATAAGGAGCTACTCAGTGTAATCTACTTTTAAAGCCTACTCATCCAAAATATTTTTTAAAAAGGAGAACTAAGTAGACATAAAAACTTACAAAGAGCCATACTGCTAAAGCCATGAAATACTGTGAATTAGCTTCTCCTTAAAATTAGACATAAAGCTCAAACTCACTAAAAAATAGTGTACTGGAACTTCTGGCATTTTTGGCAGGTTAACATGCTTTACAACCCACTTTTTCACTGCATATATGTTTTTATAAAAATGCAAAGTTAGACAACATAGGTACAAAATGAAGAAGCTATGAAATTGAGAGAAATACAAATCAATTTTTAAAGTTCCATCTGCTATAAAAATCTGTGCTATAATGAACAGCCTCCCAAGTAATTTAAAAAAGAGGTTTCCTTAACAAGCTTTTTTTTCTTTTTCCTTTGAGACTCTGCCCCCTACAGGAGATAAAGTATTCCTACCTGAAGCAGAAAACAATTCTTCATGCACCAACCAGTATTAAGAATCAAAAGCAGCTAGACAGACCACATGAGTCACCGAGCAACTCAATATAGCACTCTTGTGGAAGAGGAAGCATTTAAACGAAATAGATTTGTATTTTTTTCATGTGTCATATTGTACGAATTAAGATTTTCCCCACTCCAAATCAGAAATCTGTGTCACGTTAGAGCTCCAGATCAAAGAATGAAGGTAAAAGCTATGAAAAACAAAGCACTGGAGCTGCAGACTTGTTACTTCTGTCCCCTCTGGGTTCCCTTCTGTTACCCTTCCCCAGCATGTCCTTCAAGCAGACAAATGTAGTGAGCACCAAATTTAGAAAGCAAAGAGGAATCCTACCACATGGAACCAAGAGCTGCTGCCAGAAAGCTCTCTTCTTGCCCTTTATATAATACTTTTTCTTTTCTTTTCTACTTAGCTTCCTTCTCCCTGCCCCTTTTCAGCTCTCTTTATCTTTTTCCTGTTTTCAATTCTCTGACTGCTGAAAACAGCGGCCTTGCTCTACCTACCCTCCTCCTTTTTTTGTGGGGGTACCAGGGATTGAACTCAGGACCTTGTGCTTGCGAGGCAGGTGGCAGAACCACTGAGCCAAATCTCTGGCCCTTACCTTCCTTATTTTGAGTACAGAACACTGTAATTTTGTTTCTCAGTGGAGTGTGCCCTACCCAGGTTGAGAAGGAGGTGAATTAGATGACAGTCCTTGTATAGTACCCAAGGCTTTTCTTCATGCTTTTACTATAAACTGTGCCAAAGCAAGTGTGTCCTTATTTCAAAACCATTTTATAAAAGTAGCTGTCTCATTTGACACAAGTTCTGTCACACTCGTAACTATATTCTCGTAACCCACTATGGTTTAACTGGCTCTTTGCTCTAAACAAGTTCTGCAGATTTTTGCTCAGTAGTCATAGAGGCCCTTAAGGTAAAGCAAGAATGATTCACATAATCCTCCCCTTTAAGTAAATTACTTTTCAATAGAAAAGGTCATCACCATAACTAACTTAAATTTAAATTTAAGTTTCACCACCATCTGGCTTTTTTCAATGCAGAAATAAGAACAAAACTTAAAATTTTGTGTTGGCTGAAGTTGAGCTTCTTGTTCATTTTTAAACAATATTCTTAAGTCTAACACAGTTGAATTAAAACCTTCGCAATCAGGTTACTAATTAAGACTTTCTTCATGGCAAAAAATTTTATCGTCCCAAATTGTTGGGTTCAGTGAAAGGAAAATAATTTTGATTTACAGTAGATACAGATCTGGTATAATAATTTTGTTCTTTCTATTTTACTGTTTGGAGGAAGGTAGGAAGAATGGCAAGTAGAGAGGAAAGAAGCAGAGAAGCAGCAATAAGGTTTTCAGACATAATAAGATTACTGGTCCTGAACTCTGTTTTGTGTCTCTCCCTTACACAGCAGTCCCAGAAAACCTGCGCTTCCTGGTGATGAGACATAGGCCCGTGGAGACGCAGAAGTCACCTGAAAAATAATCCTCCACGGTTCTTTTAGCCACCTGCACATTTTCTGTCAATGCTGACTTTCTAGATTCCACCTTAAAAGGATTTGACAAGGTCATGATCAGCAGCAGTTATCAACTACCAGCATTTGCCTTGCCTTGAGGATGTTAGTAGTCAGCTTTGGAGCCATCTGTATTTCAACAAAGTCCCAGGACAGGAAATGGAATCACAGACAATTTAGGAAGCCCAAGTTCCAGATGGCTTAGGCTTTAGCCAAATCATTTTGATTCAGTAGGAAGTATCATATCTACTTTACCAACATAGTATGAGTGGCCGGATTTTTTTTTAAATATAGCAAACACATTGGAGAAGAGCTGCTTTTCATAAACAGACTTTCTAAGACTCTTAGTGAGGTAATTTTTTTTTTTTTTCCTGGTACCAGGGATTGAACTCTGGTCCTTAAGCTTGTGAGGCAGGTGGCAGAGCCACTGAGCTAAATCCCTGGCCCTTAGTGAGGTAATTTAAAAGTGCATTTCAATTACGGGATTCAGGATTTCTCTTTAATGAGCTTTATACTGAAAACTTGCTCCATACCTGCACATTTGAAACTTTGAGCAGTGAGTCCTCGCTCCAAAGACAAAGTTGTCAGGATGCTCAGGAAGCTGGTGGTCACAGACTGACGTTTGTTCTTTCTGAGTTCGTGCCCATTCATCTGATCCTTGGGTTTACTCCTCAGTGTGACTTGCAGGTTTTGCTCTGAACTCCTCACTGCATTGGCAGCTGTCTTCAGAGTCTCCATCCACTCCTGTGCCCTCTGCCGGGTCTCAGCTCGGAGGCGGAGGACATCCTGGGGGAAAATGACTTGAAAGCAAGAGTCACAGCCATCCAGGTGGTCTATCTGGACAGCCAGACAAACATCTACGTTGTAGCTCAACAAGGGATCCTCATCTAGCTTGCCAGGATGAAAGGCCATAAGGTAGTCCTTGCTTAGTACAAATGTAAATGCCTTCCAGTTATTCCGGACAGTCAGTCTGTAGAGTGTCCCTGATTTGAGGATGTTTTGGTACTGCTTGGGGCTATCCAAGACAGGGGAAGGTGGTAGCAGCCCATTGGCTTTCTTCTGTAAACAATGATTCTGCCTACAGTCAACATGATGGCCAAGCCCTGGTGAGTTTGCCAGCTCATCCTGCCGTCCCATGTAACCAGGCACAGCAGCATGTACGACTTCCCAGAGCTTCTGTCCCCAGTCCAAAGCCTCCCACGGCGATTCAGCCTTTAGCTGAAGCTGAATGTTGTCATACAGGACAGTATCCACCATGCTGGCCTCAAGATGACCCAAGACAGATATGCTCTGGAAGTGTGAAAGCTGGTACGTGGCATACAGGTTTTGATTCCCACTGCTGTCAAGACTGTAAAAGTATAAGTTATAGGGTGAGAGTTCTGCATAACAGCTTTGCCAGTAACTGTCGTGGTCCTTCCTAATCTCCAGGTAACCCTTCTTCAGAATGTTTGGGAATGTCTGTTTGTGTTCTAAAAAAAAAAGAAGCAAAGTATTAATTAATTACTCATAAGAGGGTAGATACAAGAAACCAGTCGTAGCAGAGACTGACATCTTTCTGGTTCAAACTAAACAAAACAGAAGTAGTAAAATTCTAAGATGGTACCTAATTGGCAAAGATGGAGCTAACGAAAATCTCCCAACTAAAAAACTGAACTGGGATGGTGGAGAATGAGTACAAGAGTAATTATGGGGTGTTTAACATCAATATGACTAGTCGATGTCTGTGCAAAA